AGCTTCGAGAGAATAACACACGAGAAAGTTAATCCGCGTTGACCTGTTATCATCCGAATAATCTCCGCCATTTTGAAAAGATATTTATCGGCGTATCTCCCGCAATAACAAGAGAACAACCGTCAACGCATCTACACATTCCAGAACCTTCTGCAAGAGCCGAACCAGAGGCACCACCTGCATAGGCCTACAATACACCCAGCCTACGCCCTTGGAAATCTCTAGGCCTATATACATATACCTAAATTTCCCGTATCGTCGCCATGGCCTCCCTGCCCGTCGACGCCGCCCGCGAGGCCGCCATGTCCGAGGAGCTGGCCCGCTTCTGGTCGAGCATGGGGCGCAGGTTCGAGTGCGAGCGCCCCAACCCGCAGAGCTTCCTGGGGCGCCCGCTCGCCCGCGCCTCCACCTGGGAGGACCTCGTCGCGCAGGTGGGTGCCGAGATTTTTTTTTTTTTATGGGGGGGGGGGTAGGGAGGGGGTTGTGATGATGATGGATTGTTGTGTTTGTTTGTTTTTTTTTTTGTTTGTTTGTTTATTACATATGTGTGTGTGTGTTGTGTGTAATGTAACATTTTTTATTTTTTGGTGTTTTTTATGTGATTTTTTCCGGATTTTTCACATTATTTATGGTTGTTAGATGTTAGGGTGTTGCGACTGATTTTTTTGGCAGTTTTTTATGAATTATCTTGTATTTGTATTTTGTTATTTTTCGGACTTCTTTGTTTTCATTTGTTATTGTCCAGGTAGCTTAGTACTCTTTTCGTTTATTTTGAATTGTTGCCTAGCATATATTCTTTTTCGCTTAGGGACACTTATTTAGATTTTTTTTTTCCTCCGGGTGTGATAGGCTTAGATAACTTTTCTCAGGAATTTAGCAGTAGGCCTATACATATACACGCATAGTCTGTTTCGCTGGTTGTTACTGAGGGTTTCTGTGTTTTTATTAGAAGGGATAAGAACAGACTAAGGAGTTAGACTCATTCTATATATTAATAAGATACCTAATAATTGCATCCTTAGCATTTAGTTATTTTCAAATAGCAGTAGTTGGTATCGACAATGTAACAGTTTCCCCTCGTAGCCACAGGATACGAAGGTATTTATTTTTAGGTCTAAAAACTACCCTATGTTCGCGAGTTCTATTTTTAGAAATTCCCAAAGAGAGGGGAGAGCGACTTCTTTTTTATGTATTTATATGATATATTTTAAGGTTTTGCACATATAAGGGTGTGTTCTCAGTGGGGCCAAAAGTAGGAATTTCTTGTTTGCGTGAGAGGTAGATAGGCCTATGAGGTAAGAGGGATAACTGTACTATTTTTATATCATATTTTTTTTTCTTTTCTTTTTTTTTCTTTTTTTTCTCTGAGTGTCATTAAAGTTTCTGTCATAGTTCTAGATGGAAGAGATACTTAACGATTGAATATAATATTTGTTTTTACTATTGGTGTGTAGATCAAGAAAACGTTGAATTAGTGCCTACCTATCCCTAACTATCGAAAGTTAGTTTATAAATGCATTTGTTTATATTTTCTTGGGGAAAATTTAATTGTTTATAAGTATTTTTTAACGATTTCTCAATGCTAAATTTGTCTCTGGCAAGTGAAATGAAAATAACAAAATTCGAAGGGGAGATTCTAGGTGTTGGACGAAGGAGAATGAACCTTGAACCTCATCTCCCCCCCCCCCTCCTTTTACAGACTCTCCCCGATGCCCCCCAGTACGCGAAGGAGGACGTGCCCAAGGAGGAGGACGAGGAGCAGGCCGCGGAGGTGGACGGGTTCCTGACGAGGGCGGCCCTGGAGAGTGACCTAGATCTACAGGAGGACGTGGTAAGTTGGGTGCCTTCGCGGGGCCTCTGAGAGTTTGTTTGTTTGTTTGTTTTTTTGCTCTTGTTTTAGAATGAGACTTTGTTTGATTCTGGGGTATGAGATCTTGAAGGATTTAATTGACTTTTGTTTTTTAATATCTGAGAAAAAAATGAAATGTCTTCTTTTGATATGCCGATAGAGGTATTTCTTTAAAGACTGAAATTTGATAGCTTTTTGTTTTATGTTTGATTTCTGTTCAGTTTTTGTTTCATAGTTTTAAATGCATTCTAGTAAAAGTTCCAAGACTATTAAACAGCCAATAACTCATTCGTTCCATCTGTCCGAGCTAAAGTTGTGTCGTTCTTGGGTAATTAAAGTGTAAACGAGTGAAAAAAGCAGTCACGAGAGTCACTAACGAATTTGAGGTACATTTAAAAAGCATGGTACTAAATCATTTGATAAAGTAATGTGATAAGGTATAATCTAACTGCATAATTTACTATCGTGTAACATTTTTTTTTAAGAAGTGTATGTTTGCTACATTAACCAAGTACGGCACTAGTTTACTTCACGACGATGGCATCTTTGAGAGATCTTAGTTTTTTATTTAATTTATTAATTTATTTATCATTTTCTTACGGTAGTGGATCAGATTGCCATAAGCTTTGTCATTGAGGGGATTTAAAAAAAACATCAGATTTAGACAATTTGATATTTTGTTCTGAAGTAGTATTGGCTGAACTTTGCCTTCAAATTTAGTCCTCCATGTAGGAATGTAGGCCTATCTATACCCCAGAAGTAAAGTAAATCAGATCCTCATTTTAAAAAGATATTAAAGAGGGAAAAATAAAAAAGGGAAAAGGGGGGAGGGGAAAGAAGGGGAATAAACAAGGGAAGGGGCATGACCCTAGAAGGAAGGGGTGGGGGGTAGGGGCAGCCCATGCCGCTCTCCGCTCGTGCACTTCTCCATTGCAGAAACCCCGGACACTCCACGAGGCTGACCGAGACTATCTCAACATCTGAGTTAATCTCGAGCATTTGCCCACATAAGTAACGTGTTCGACTTCGCCTTTGTTCACCTGCGCTCTCTCCTGGCTGTTCTGGAGGACTCTTTTTCAGCTGTTCTTCAGGGCTGGGGGTTGGGGGTGTATGTGTGTTTGTGTAATTTTTTTTCTTTTTTGTGTGTGATTCATTGTTTTTATTAGGGGGTTTAATGAAAAGGGTGGGGTTGGGTCCCTTCTCTCTGGCTGGTCTGGGGGTCGGAATTGGCTCTTCGAGCTGTGTAACGAAGAGAAAAGAAAAATAAGGAAGAGGAGATGAAGGAAGAAGAGACTTCTCGCCTCTTCCTCCCCTTCCACCTCCTCCTCCTCCTCTTCCTCCTCCTCCACCAACACCTCCTGGAGCTCCTCCCCCCGGTTCCCCCGCCCCCCGCGACGAGGGAGCGGCGCCGCCCCCTCGCTCAGCATCGATCCGGCCAGAGCAGCAGCAGCAGCAGCAGCCTCGGCTTCGGGGGAGGAAAGGCCATCTGGATCGTTCCGGATCACACCGGCTCGAGCCAGTTCCGACCTGATCGCCATGCCGTCCACTTTCCCTCCCTTTGCTCATTTCCTTTTATGGGGCGTTATGGCACTCGCTCTTCAGGGGCAAAGAAAAGTCAGGGCCTGAAAGGTCTGTCCAGAACAGTAGTTGAGGCGCATTTAGAGAAAAAAAACACGGTGTGATTCAAAAAGACACATCTCATGGAAGAAAATATGGAAAAAAATCAAAGATGTTTTTTTGATATTGATCATTTGATTTGTACCATATGTTTCTCAATAAGTATGAAATTATGGTCATGGTGAAAGAAAACTAATCATCCTAATGCCTTTCTCGAAATAACCTCATATCACCAAGTAAGACCAAGCACATTGAAGCTATACCATTACTATTCTTAAAGATCAGACTAACGACAGGGGCGCCATGAAACTCGCAGGTCGCTCCTTGACCTGAGTTTGGTGTCGCCCCGTCACTCGCCGACGCCGCGCCCAGGCCAGCCCCTCACTGTACTCGCTCTTTCAGCTGCAAGATTGCGTCAGCAGGTCAGATTCCCCGGCCGATTGCGTGGTCGACGGGGCGCGGATCGGAGACGTGCCCGCCAGGTACGTGGTCAGGGGTCTGCAGGGCCACGAGCTACCGGTGGTGGGCACCTACGTGGACCCCAATGTCGTCACGGGCTTCTGCTACCAAGTCCGCCCGGTCGGGGCCAAGAAGCCGCTCTTCCAGGTAAGCGGGGGTTCCTGTTGCCGGGTTTAGACAAACGGTGGTGAGAAATGGTCTCCGAAAAGAAGTATTTTGGATTTAGGTTCCCACGAATTTGACGAATACCCTCTTCGTCTCCAGGGACGGGCCCTTCGCCTGGTATCCATCGGCATGGGCTACGGGAAGCGCATCACCTTCGCCAGCGACAAGCACAACACCAACGACAACTACTTCTGGTCCGACACGCACCCCGAGGGCTACGGCTTCGCCCTCCGCCTGGTGCAGGAGGGGGACAAGTTCACCCTCAGGGACGCCAACGGATACTCCGTCGCCACGGCTGAGGTCATCGGCCTTCTGGTGAGGATTTCAGTCGTTGACCAGAAAGGGGCGGGAGATCATGGCACAGTTTGGCACATATAGTTGAAATACAGTTAAAATCGGGTGAGGTATCAATCATGCTAATAATTTTCTCTCTCTTCCTCAGGGCCCCCAGACCGAGGTGAGCCACCGAGTCCTGGAGAACGGCGGGATCGAGAAGAGAGCTCAGGTGTCCATCCTGTGCAACGTGTCCTACTTCGACGAGCCCCACGCCGAGCTGAGGCCCGTGGCCATCTCGGGCGTCGCTGTGTCCCTCAGAGCCAAGGGCGCCAGGGCCGTGGCCTCCCTCAAGAAGAGTAAGTTTGGACCAGTGAGATCCGGAGCGAATAGACGGGGATTTGTTGACCTTCATAGGATACGACTTCCTCACAAAACTGGCAAAATGAACACTTGATTCTAATAACAACGCCGATTACCTTATAACAGTGGAAAAATGTAAATATCTGAAGTTACTTTCTGCGCAAGTACAATCCCACTTACCTCAAACCTGTCTGTTTCTCCCCCAGTCAAGGAATGCAACGTGGGCGGCGAGAGAGGCTTCACGCTGGCGGCCGGCGTGGACTCCTCCTCCCGC